AGATCCAGGACCCTCAGACAGAGGACAGGCGTCTACAGCCATCAACCCCAGAGAAGAGAAGTCTCTTCAATGTAAGAACATTTCATCTCTTCCTCTTTATGTATTGAATTATATAACGCATTGTTTGCACAGTGCCAGAACAGACACATTATGCACACAGTATGCTCTAGAAGTCTTGAGTTGGAGTAAAAAAAACAACATAAAAGAGTAGAATTCCACCATTCAGTGGGTTTTATGTTATTTTAATGAACTTGCAGAGAATATGATGGTTTCTGCTTGTGTGTTCTTTGCAGTATTCACTTAATGTCAAGAGGTTGTCACCAGATGATAGCACCAACATCTCCCCCTACTCTCTATCGCCTGTCAGCAACAAAAGGTAGGAGCACCATTTTTAACAATTTTTTTTAAATCTCTTGTTGATCGCACTGCAAACAAATAAACTGTAAAATTTGGCATTAGAGTTTCACAATGTCCAACTTTTCTTGTTGCAGTCAAAAATTACTGCGTTCACCAAGAAAGCCAACTCGTAAGATCTCAAAGATCCCTTTTAAAGTCCTGGATGCTCCCGAGCTGCAGGATGACTTTTACCTCAACTTGGTGGACTGGTCGTCTCTCAACGTGCTCAGTGTCGGGCTGGGTACATGTGTTTACCTGTGGAGTGCCTGCACCAGCCAGGTACTACAGAGTGTTTACACAACTGATTTTAGAGCATGAACTGAAGTGTTTTCTGTGTTTGTATATTTGTAAAAATACTCGTGTTTCATGGCAGCATTCATTACTGTGCCAAACCGTTGATATCTGAATTGTCCTTTCCTCAGGTAACAAGGTTGTGTGATTTATCGGTGGAGGGAGACTCAGTCACGTCAGTTGGGTGGTCCGAAAGGGTAAGTACACACAGCTTACTACCTTCAGAACACTGTCAGGGTGAACTTTTGGTAGAGTTAGTTTTCCCTAATGAAAGGATTCTTCATGTTTTAGGGTAACCTAGTGGCAGTGGGGACACACAAAGGCTATGTTCAGATCTGGGATGCTGGTGCTGGGAAGAAACTCTTTGCCCTGGAGGGACACACAGCCAGAGTTGGTGAGAACATTTGCAGTATTTGAACTCTGAAAATGGGTCATAAATTGACTTAACAAGACCGCTAAGGTTACAATAAAAACAAATGAACTGATAGCCAGCAAACTAGAAAGCTTAATTAATGTTTGAAATTCTCGCTAATCGTCTCCTGACAGCAATTATGCATTTTAGTCAAATGTTAGGAGTGTGACCGAGCATTAATTAAGCTTTCCTCTGTCTGCAGGAGCATTAGCATGGAACGCAGACCAATTGTCTTCGGGAAGCCGTGATCGTATGATTCTTCAAAGAGATGTGCGGACCCCTCCACTCCAGTCAGAGAGACGGCTGCAGGGACACAGACAGGAAGTGTGTGGCTTAAAGTGGAGCACTGACCATCAGCTGCTCGCTTCTGGTGGCAACGACAACAAGGTACAGTTGTTGTTGTTAGTGAACATGTGTCCATGTTTGTGTATTTATTCATTGTGTTTATTGATGTGGCTGTTATTTGTCATCTCAGTTGCTGGTCTGGAACCACTCCTCGCTGAGCCCAGTGCAAACATACACAGATCACCTGGCTGCAGTGAAAGCCATTGCCTGGTCCCCCCACCAGCACGGCCTGCTGGCCTCTGGAGGCGGCACTGCTGACCGCTGCATCCGATTTTGGAACACCCTGACCTCACAGCCGCTGCAGTGTATGGACACCGGCTCTCAGGTCTGCAACCTGGCCTGGTCCAAACATGCTAATGAGCTGGTAAGTGACTCCAGATACACACTTTACATGGTTGATTTGCTGACTATTCTGTAAAATTCTAAAGAGACAATTGTGATGAAGGTCACACTTGCTTTGACAATAAGGGTGTTACATGACTGCTTTTTTAAACATCACATTAATGCCTTAAAAAGCTGTTTTTGTACTTAATTTATATGAGTTTGCAGACAGTAGTGACAGTAGACAGTCTCTGCCTGTTCCTGAACTGACTGCTGCTGTAATTCAACCAGCAAACAAGTCCAAGGGGATTGAAGGAATATTTCACTCACAAAGTAGCCATTTGTAAATAAATTAGTCATGCTGCATTACCTTGAATTCCTGAGAAAACTTTGTTTTTCTCAAATACCTCCACGGAAATTGGCAAACATAATGATGTACTGATTGACTGGGGACCAAGTTTAACAACAGCAAAACTATATCAAATCATCCGTTTACAAACTCTCACACAACTTCTGCAGTATAATCCAAGTCTCATTATCCAGTTGTACGCTCAGTGCTTCCTAAACACCTGCATTTTCCCTAAAACATTACTATTTAAAAAGGAACTGGAAGTGAAACTTATCTATGCTCTCTATAGAAACTTGGATTATACCAAACATATTGTGTGAGTCTGTAGTCTGATGTTTCAATATAATTTTGCTGTTGTTAAATATGGTCTCCGGTCAATCAGTAAATCAATATGTTCGCCATTTTCCGTGGAGGCATGCAAGAAAAACAGTTGATTTTGAAATGGTCATTTTGCAGGTGAAGAGTTGTTACATCCATGTTCGTTCTAAAATATATTTTTTAATTTTAATTTGATAAACCATGGTTGTAATAGCTAGTCTTTTATCTTGTGCCAATGTATGCACTATGTTGGTGAAGATTTTCAGTCATCCAGGTCATAGTAATCTTATGACTGGACTTGCCTGAGTCTCTGGAAGACATTTCACCTCTCATCCATAACTGAAGAAGCCTCTTGGATGAGAGTTCACTTAAGAACATATGGAGTACTGTCCTCAATTAAAGTGTTTTTCTTTTAAATAAACCTCTTAGGAGACAGAGCATATGTTATTATGCTGTTTTCCATATTTTATCGTGATATACTTTGGACAGTGTACCTGTTTCGACAGGAAGAAATGTTTCCTCTTTGGCACAAAACGCAAAATATGCATTGTTGAGACCAGTACTGTTGTCAATCATCAAGACCGACACTGAGAAGATGGTCTTGTTAGTTTGCAGTAATAACATATAAATGTGTCTAATTGTTACCAATTCATTTATAGTGAATTACACAAAGCCTCCATTGAATTTTTATATTGCCTCTTTCTCCAGGTGAGCACTCATGGATACTCTCAGAACCAGATCTTGGTGTGGAAATATCCAGCTCTCACTCAGGTTGCCAAACTCACAGGACACTCCTACAGAGTGCTCTACCTGGTCAGTGTGTGTGTTTATTCTGATGAGATCGTGATCTTGCTGCATGTCATGTTAATGCAACAGCTGGCCATATTTGCCGGAACATCGGACAGGTTCATAAAGGTGTTTTTTTTTTGTTTTTTTTTTGTTTTTTTTTTTTAATACTAGGCCATGTCCCCAGATGGTGAAGCGATTGTGACGGGTGCTGGAGATGAGACTCTACGCTTCTGGAACGTATTCAGTAAAACAAGGTCAACTAAGGTGAGAAAACACTTTTTGTGAAGAGCACTCACAGACTCCTTCATAACTTCAAAATAATTAATCAGGTTTCTTTATATTTTGTTTCAGGAATCTGTATCAGTTTTAAATCTCTTCACCAGGATACGGTAACTGTAAGGAACTATTAGAAGTCTAAAACTTTATTTTTTTGAGTGGATCCTGGTGTCATCACTGGATAGCTCATCACCATGGTGCTAAGGACATACAGTACAACCTAAGGCAACTTGTGACTTTTTTTTTCCACAGAGGAAATGGCAGTGAGAACAACTGAGCATGTTTTCCATTCATGCCAACAAGTGTTTGGGAAATTATTTTTGAAGTCTGTGCTCTTGTTATGAATATAACATTTTTTTTATTCAACAAAAAAAAAAATCGAAGTGGATTGATTTCCATTTGTTTTGTATTTGCAACACAAAATCATGGGCCTTACTTAAAAATATTGTGTTGTGGAGAGAGCATTTTTAGTTTTTGTTTAACTCAGGTCTTATTTATTTAACGCTGCAGTGAAATCCTCAATGGAGAAAATGCCTTTACATATTGTGACTAAAACATAAAAAGAAAACATAATCACCCATTAAGGCCTTTACAGTATGTTCACCATGTTTACTGTGATCCTTAGAGTACTAAGGTTGAGAGTGGTTGGCTGAAATAATGCAGTTTTGCTCCTGTGGACAGAAAGTCTAATGCTGTGCATCAAGACATACTACATAGTTGACTCTTTGTAGTAAAGGAAGAAATAAAGACGATGGAACTGAACAACCAGTGTATGTTTCCTTTTTGCCATAACAAATACCACTACCATGTATTTTGGGCTTAATTTGGTTTGGTTGCACTTTTGTTACTAGATTAAATTTTGTAATGGTGCATCTTAAAATGACAATTAAAAAAGCATGATTGTTTAATGTTTATGCAGCTGATCTGAATGATAAATGGTATTCTTTTTGACTGGTGATTTTGAAACTTCTTTAATTCATTATCATGCAGTGTTATTGACTGTTTACTGAATATGTGGTGGATTTACCATTTTGTACTCATTTATGCCAATGGAACAGTGCATACTAACAAAAGAAAACAAAACAAAACATACCAAGGATGTAACCAGAGAGCACTGAATAAATAAATATTAAAAAATGGATGAAGTTGAATCAACTTTCCAATTATATAATTCTATGTACATTACATATTTTCTTTCATTATGTGGGATTTTCCCATTAATTAAATCACATCCAAAATATTCTGTATCCGTGACAACAACAGCCTACAACCAGAGGCGGCGCTGCTTCAACTGATATGCTAACCGGAAAGCGAATTTACGTTGACCCGCCCTACTCTACTTTTTGCTACGTCTGATTGGCTTACCTTAACCAACGTCACGCCTCTTGTATAAACCTAACCAATCCAACCCAGGAAGGTAACGAGTACTAGCCAATCAGAGGGAGAGTAGGGCAGGTCATGCTTTCGCCGTCCCCAAACTGTTTGACCGGATATACTGTGAACGGTTACGGGCGGGAAGTTGAAAGTTTGAGTAGTTCAGAGGAAAAAAAAAGCATTGATATTAGCAAGTTAGCTGTTGTAAAGTAAAGTTGCATCTTCCAAACGAGAAGAGTAAGCTCAAGGACTATGATAAATCAAATGTGGTCCACGACTCAAGCTAACTAACGTTACGCTAGCTGAAAAGACTATTAACGACAGTCTGCTGGAGGTGCTAGCTAACGTTAGCTAGCTCGCTAGAAGTTGTTTACTTTCTGTCGTCTGTCAGGATGACGGACAGAAATCTTGTGCAGGAGCTAAAACGTTGGGCGACAGAAGAGTTCAATCTGCCCCCGGACAGCCTGCCAAATGACAGCTATTTTAAAACGTGGGTATCAGCTTTACATTTGCTAAACCGATGTTAGAGCTCCTTTCAACTGATGTTTAATTTGCAGTGTTGAACAAACGTAATGCTGTTTATTTGCTTTTCTAGGCTCTGTATTGGAACAGGGAAGTCAATATGGAAGTACATCATTCAACACGTTTTTCAACAGAGGTTAGTATTAACACTGCCTTCATGTTCTGTAACCCCTCAAACACTTGCCTATGTTTGTGGTAATGTTGATTTCTTGCATGCCATTCCAGAGCTAACTCAGACACTATTGAAGAAAGAAGACAGAATATCATGACATCCGAAAAATAGCTGTATCTCCAAAATAAACTGTAGTCTCACCTTCTGTATACTATTTTATAAGCAAATAACTAATGACAGCTTACTGACGAGTTCCCTGTCTTTCTAGGAATGTGAGGATCATACGTGGCAATCTTCAGTGGTATCCTTTCTGGCCCTGATTGAGGATTGTAAAGCTACCAGTGTCTTTACAGTGGCCATGCCAACTTCATGTGTACATTTTGGTCATTTGGTTGCTTTTGTAAATGTCACTGAAAAGTCACTTTGGCAGAAGAGTCTGTATCTTGCTCAAGACTTGATGCTGTTTGTATGTTTATGTTCGGTCATTGTACAGTCTCTCTGCCACCAATCTGAGTGGTGTACTCCTGTCTTTGATATGGGTGCTTTCTTGGGGAGTCCTGAATGTCCCTGTTCAAAACCTTGCAAGACCTGTATGCTGCGACCTATTTCCACTTTCTCTCTGTGTTTTCTGTCAATTGTCTTCTTAGCTGTCTTATAATGACCTCAAAAATGATTTTAAATATGCCCTGCTTCTATACTATGTTTCACTCAGTGTACGCTGAATTTTCTCAGCCACCATGACCACTCCATGTTTTGCATTTTTCCAGTAATTTCCTTGACATTATGATCTTTAAGGTACAAAGTTCTTCAAGACAAAGAGGTAGGCTATGTCTTGTTTTGCTTCTTTGTGATTCGTTTCTATTTCTTGATATACCTGCTTGTTTTAGTACTTGATCACACTGATAATACACAGTGTGGATTTTTTAATTTTTGTAAAAAAGCTGCAGATAAACTGAAATGTGCTTTTTGTCTGCTGGTGTTTTTGCATGTTCAGTTGAAGCAGGCTGAGGGCCAGAGTGAGGCTGCTAAGCAGAGAGAGCTTCAGAAGAAGATTGAGCAGCTGAGAACTGAGATCAGTCACCTGGACTCTCAGATCAGTGGAACAGAGGAACAACTGGCTACACAAGGTTAGTCCATCACATGCTGTAAGGCCGTGGTATCTGATCAGACCACATCACAGAAGGCAGAAAGCCAGCTCATTGCTGCTGTTTGCTTTGCTTCCATCCTTAAACAACATTTTAAGTGATCTCCCACATCAGTGTTTTCTACTGTTTACTAACAGAGCAGTCCATCAGCCACACCTGGGCCCAGGTGGAGGACAGCCGGCAAAGAGAACTGCTTTTACAGGCCTTCAGGCAACGCTGCCTTTTGGGCCGCAAGGTGCTGTCTGATGACACACAAAAGATCAGTCGGCACTGCCAGGCACTGGAACAAATGGCAAAGTAAGGCAGAACATTGGAAGTTGTGGTAACATAAAAGTGAATGAAGAGGGATCATTTACACACCTGCATTAATCATGTTGTACATAAGTATGAACTGTATTCTGTTTTGCAGGAAAGCTGAGATTGAAGTGCTGTTTGATAACAAGCCCTCCAGTAGCAGTGATGGTGACAACCTCAACTCTAAAGTAGCAGCAGAGGCACAGGTCCTGGTAAGAGCTGCCTAAATCTGTTCTGAGTAGAGTTGAGAGTGCACTTTATCTGACACAAGTGTTGGCACATTGCTGCTATCTGTGGGTACATGTTTCAGTCAGAAAAATTAAGAGTAAATAGGCCAGCTGACAAAAATGCTACACAGTGGTTGTGTTCAAAATCATTCCCTCTTTCATATATAGTGCACTATATTTACTATCCCTGATTTCATTTCAGTGTCAAAGTTGTATGTGGAATTTATCTGTATAGTGCCCTCAAAAATGTGCACATTGAATGAAAGAAGGAGTGTCTGTGGCTAGGGGTGTAACGGTACACAAAAATCTCGGTTCGGTACGTACCTCGGTATACAAGTCACGGTTCGTTTTTTTTTCTCTCGGTACAGTAATGAAAAAAATAGACAACTATTAAACATCTTTTACTTGTTGGTAGTCTGAGTGGGCGGAAGTTTGCTGCAGAGATCAGCCTCTCATTGGGCGGAACGAGCCACCCGCTGAAGTCCCGCCCTACCACCTCCGGTTGTGTAGCAGTTTTCAACCGTTTTCAACACGTCCTTTACTAACTTTTGTGGTGTTTGATCTTGCGGGGATGTAGCCATTTTTCTGCCATGGTTCGTGTCCTGTAGGTGATATTTTTGTGGGCATGTTACACCAAAACCTGCCCCCCCCGGGGGCGTTGCTGTGGTACCGCCCAGAACGATTGTGATTGGTTGAAAGAAGTACAAGCAGCTGGGGCGTTTTTTTCTCCAATCTCAAAGTGAGAGTCGGCCCAGCCAGACCTTTCTTTTCTTGAGAAAGGTCTGGTAAGCGAGACTAACTTATTGGTAACCTTATTAAAACATACCACCACAGCAGTTAACTGTTTTTACACAATTTTTGAATGAAACAAATATATATAAAATCCTGCTTTTTCACATTGTTTGAATGAAAATAGAAATATAAAAGTGAAAAATAAAATCCTGCTGTTTTTTTAACACATTTTTGAATGAAAAATATAAATATACATTTCTGCTTTAACAGTTTTACTCAATTAAAATAAAAAGTATAGTGCAGCTGGTCAGCTTTAAAGCCTGCTCAGATTCAGTTTTACTAGGAACTTACTTAGCTTTCCCACTTTGTTAAAGTGCAGTAAACAAAACATGCTTATATCTAAAGTGCAGCTTAAACAATTTTACTCAACTCCAATGGTGTTGGTTATTTCTTTAGTGCGATGGTCAGGGAAACGCTCTTTCTTTTTAAACGACGACGATATCGTAGTTTGCACCAGATTGCTTTTTCTAGTCGTGCCGGTTAACGTTCAAACTCGGGTGGTGTCGCTTTAGATGCGCTTTAGACGCTGTTCTGCAGTGTCGGCACACTGCTTTTGTCTTGTCAACTTGTTTATTTCCATCTTCATATTTTACCCTGAAACCAAAGTGTTCCCGAACGGAGGACTTAAGGTTTGTGGGTGGGTCTTCAGGTTCGTCAGGCTCACTTGCCATGTTGTCAAAATGCGAGAATGCGCTGCACAAAGTGAAAGCGGAGATTTACGGGACTCGGTCCGTCACTCAATTATGTCCGTCGGGGAACTAGATATTTTAAATGGTTTGGCTCGCAAAAACGGAATTAAAATAAAACAAAATAAAATAAAATAATATCCTGCGCCCAATAATTCGGTACAGGGTTGTGCCGAACCGAAAGTCGCGTACCGAACGGTTCGTCACAAATACATGTACCGTTACGGCCCTATCTGTGGCAGGTACACTACTTTCTGCTAACAACCCCTCAGTGCAATGATCTGCAGGTATCAGAAATCTCAATTCACAGCCCACTCGTAAACTACTGTATATAGCGTATCACACAGGGAGCAATCAACGAGTGAATCATTTGGAACACACAATTCCATCTCAGGTGGGAAACAGCAGTATATTGCTGGTCTTTTCAGCATGTATCTAGTTATGCCATCTTCAGGGTAAGCTCACAGTACTCCTACTGGTGGAGACACACTGATTTGATGTTCTTTTGCCAGCTGTTTGAAAACATCACTGGAAATCTACATGTCTTTTAAGAAATTACTCATTTGGATCCACATTTATTCTCACAAATCTGTAACGTAGACCAAGATGCCTGTAATATATCAGTTGCTGACGAAAGGAAGTCATCCCATTTCTTTTATTTTTCTCTGTTAGCGTGAAGTGAGAGAGCTGTGTGATGACAGGGTCCACTTCTATCAGTCTTTACAAGAGAGTGAACTGAAAACATCACACTCTGCAGCCAAACAGTAAGGACTGCAGTGTATACAGAAATCAAGTATTCAAAAAAACTGTCTTTTATTATATTGTCAGCTTGAATTCATCGCTTCTCTCTGTTTCTCCTCAGTATGAGTTGTGAACAAAGGACTGCTGTGTTTCAGTACTGGCTGAGTGCTGTAGAGGTAGGTGTATTTTAATCAGATTTCACTAAATATTTTGGTACTTATAAACTGTTAATTTTCAATTTGAATTAATATGATGCCTGTTATGTCTTTAGAACCTGTTGGGTAATTATCCTCCAAACCAAGTTCTCTCAGCGGTGGAATATTTAGCATCCAGAGAGCAGAAGGAACTAGAAGAGAAACTTGCCTCTCTGGATGTGACACGGGATGTAACAGCTCTACGGTAAACTCTATTATAATGTTCTCTCTTCCTTAAAGACTATAAAAAAATGCCTAAGTTTTCAATGCATTAATATAGCATTTTAATTGCAGGTTCCGCTACGAAAGCAATCACCTGCTGGACATGTCAGCAGAAGAGGATAATGAGTTGCCATCAGTTAAGAGCCTCTTAGAGGTGCTAAACACAAACACACATATTATACACTGCAAAGTAATATTAAGGAAGTTTCGCAGTGGAGAAAACATGTTTGTGTGTTTCCCTGCATTTGTGATGAAAATATATTTTTATATTTGGAAATGCACTTGTTTGTTGTTCTAGGATGCTTGGGAAGAGGTAGCACAAAGTTTGGTGGAACTGGCCCAGACCCGCTCCAGAGTTCAGGAGCTTCAAAACCAGCTTCAGGCCCGCAAGAAGGAGGCTGAGCAGGAGGTGTCTGGCATTGCAGATGAGCTCCACAATGACAGCTTGGCACTGTAAGCACACTCAATATAGAGTTTGTTGCTGAGGTTCCCACAAGTCATAAAAAATGTATTATCCCGAGAGTAATGTTATGGTGATGGAATTTTGGACAACAAACGTCAGGAAAAGGCACAGAATTATTTTGCAGTAGGAGCTCATTATTGTCAAGCAATGTCTAACAATGTCTTTTTCCTTTTTTTCTCAATTTAGTCTTATTCTTTGCATGTTTTCTTACTTTGTTTTGCTCTTTTTTTATGTCTGCATTTGCAATAAATTAGTTGTGAACAGTCAAATTAGAGACTGTTGTGATATGGACAAATGAAACACTTGTTACAAAGCATTTACTTTGTTTTCTCTCTGTTGTTGTTAGGTCGGCTCTAGAGGTGGAACTTCAGTGTGTGATGCAGGCTGCAGTCAGGGATCATATCAGAGATCGGTGTATCCAACTTGATCAGCACGCCAGAAGCCGACAGGAGGCACTTAGGAACCTCCGCAGCCAGTGGCAGAGCATCCTTGACTTTAGGCAACTAGTGGTGAGAGTGAATTGACAATATGAGACCTCTCATTACCTTTGCTCGTGTTACTCTTGGATCAAGCATTTCCAAGATGTTTCAGAAAATATTGGTGATTATTTAGGACAGTGTAGTCAAGAGGATGTGGTTAAGTGTGCTCTTCACTGCCTGTAGATAACATCTTAATTTGCCATACCTTTAAAACACAGAGGTGTCAGTATTTGTCCAATATATATAATTCCACATATTCTGTTGTTGTGTCTCACCAGGATCTCAGACAGGAGCATATCAGAGGTCTGATTAAGGGGAACTCCACAGCCAAGACAGAGCTGATGCGTCTGCACACAGAGGTGCGGAAGTTCTCTAAGTAGAGAGATTATTTATAAGACTTCCTTAACTCTGTGGTGAAAGAAATGTTTTGGCCTCTTTCACATAAAAAAAAACTTTTTCCACACTAAAAGCAAATTTTTAAATGTCTCTTAAGGATTTATATGCCTCTGCCTTTTTTCAGTTGCAGGAATTCGTCCGGGCCAAACTGGCGCCACACTTTGAAGTTGTCACCGCTGCAGCCAGCAGTCAAAGGAACTCCATCTCTAAGGAGGCCAGACAGTTGGGAATGGTCTCACTTCCTGCCCTGGACCGTAGGACTGTTGAAGGGTAAGCACAAGTTGCCTGATACCCAAAGGGGTAAACTTCAGTGAATTTACATTTTCTGTTGTTTCAGAGTGCAAAGAATCCCTGCATCATGGTTGTCTATCCATCGCTTGAAGTCCCCGACCTTCACCAGCTTGTGTCAGAGCCTGGCATTCCCACTGTACAGGGTAAGTCCATGCATTTGATGCATCAGTCATTAATGACATCTCATTCTTCTTTGTCTTCTTGCTCAGAGCAACACTATATATGCTTGTCAGTACAAGGGTTAAGTCAAGTTAATAGTTGATGATTCTTTTAAAAGACAATTCAGTAAGTATTAGCTATAATCTTGTAGTTGTTAAACCTGTGGAATAGTGCAGGATAAAATTGTTTCTCTTTTTTAAACGCTAAAATATATGAAGAGATTATCATTTATACTAATTTTAAACTTTCTAAACAGTATTACAAAGTGTTGAATTACTGTACAAAAGACCATAACATTGTGTTGTCAGACTGGCAGACCTTTGATGCGTGACTTAGCATCTGAAGTTTGTCTTTGGACACTCACTGCATTCTTATAAAAGTTGTGCTAGCAGCTCCTAAAGTTCACACTGCTCCTTAAATGGCTCATCCCCAGAGTGGTTTTGATTTGCAAGCTGACTGCCAACATGCTGTCAGTGCCATTGCTTGACCCCACAGTCCTCTCACCAGCAGATCTGATAAAAAATATTATTCATAAAAATCAGTTTTACTGCACAAAGGCACAACACTGTCAGTTTTGTACCTTATAGGCAGCTTTTTGAGGATATCCGGGAATCTTACAAACACATGATGGGTAGTTTTTTCTTTTTGTCTTTATTTGAAAGGACACACTTAAGCGTGAAAGGAGGAGGGTTGGGGGGGGGCTGACATTGCCTATATACGTGGGGCACCTGCTCTAACCACTGAGCTACTGGGTGCCCAGAATGTGTTTGATGTAATGGAATTTCTTCGCCTTGTACTTTTTTCTCTGACTTTAAATCAAACAAATTTTTTTGTCCTTCTTACATTTCAGGCTCCAGAGGAGTTGTGTTCCCAGGCGCGCTCCCAACAGCTTGAGTTGCGTTTTCTCCGTCAGTTGTTGCAACTGCACTCTGCCACTGTGCAGAAAACACAGAAGGAGGCAGAGTTACTGCATGCACCTGATCAAAAAGGTAATCAAGAGATTTCATGAACGAAGTTTTTAACATACTGCATGAAACTGTTTGTGCAGATATTGTATATGAATTTATTTTCCCTGAACAAAAATATGTTTGAAGAATCATTTTACGCGTCAGTACAAACTAAACTATTGTTTGTCTCCACTGTGCCTCTTAGCTCTGCTGTCCAGAGTCAGGGAGGAGGATCAGAAGCTTCTGGAGGCTCTGGTACCGAGAGTCAGAGGCCTCACCCAACGTAGCGCCCAAGGCCTATCTTATGGGGCACAAGTCAAAACTGCCATCTCTTACTGGTGAGGCACATTTCTGAAGTAGATTACCTATAGTAAAACAATAGATGCACCACAGTTAGCACTTATATGGTGTGTAGTTTCCTTTAAAAATTTCATTTACAAACCAGCTTCATTGTTGAGATCTGGGGATGAGCCACCTTGACACAGCTCTACAAATCTGCTGTCTAAACATATTAAGAAAACCACACCTGCAAGTGAAAATGAAAGTGAATGTGAGAAGTTATCACTCGAACCATCTTATCTAAACATCCTTAGTTTCCTTAAAACATCTTCCTTAACTTTGATACTGTAATTGCATTAAATGTGTACAGTTTAACAATGCAATGGATGATTATGTGTACATTGATTTTGCTTTAAAGTTTAACTGTCTGTTCAAGGGAATAACAGAAACAGTACATTGAATTGAACATCAGTTTATTGATGGGATTTTGCATGTATTTGTACATCAGAATACTCTAGTTAAACATTTCACACCAGCCTGAGCTGAGTAAAATTTAAGTTATGCTCAAAAATATATAAGGAGGACCCTGGTTGTTTTCCTTCATCGTTCGTTAACTGTAGCTTCAACCTTTGCTACTGTATTTTCATGTAGAGTTTGTTGTAGACATTAATGTATTGTGTTATTTGGGTTTATACCTTCAGTCAGCATTTTAGAGTCTGGTTTCCTGGTGAACTTTTTCTTTTGTGTGTGTATACATATAGGTGGGATCAGCCAGCCCAGCATGTCCTGCCTGAAGTCACTAAAGGAGGACTGTCTTTTCAACAGTGGCAACAGAGATGGAAGCTTGCTGCCAAAGCCTCTTAGGAGACACCTCATCACTAGAAAATACAAAGGAGATCCTTCACAGCAGTGGTTCTCAGTCTGCGGTCCTTGAGGGATTTCCAGGGGGTCCCCAGAAAAAGGGGAAGATTATTTTCTCAGTTTAATTCAGTACAGAAGTGAGCTCAAAGTGAATAAGAGTGACTATTCTGATCATGGGTTTCACTTCCTGTATGGTTATCTTCTCAAATGTGGCTGACAACTAATTGTTGGGGGCCAAACTTTTGAATCCACCCACTCAAATGGGTTTGAGTTGACTAGAAACAGAGTATAATGAGTTGACAATTCTGGTGGGAAAACTGCAGAATTTTGGTCTTGATCATAACTTAAAACAAATTTTATTTCAGATGAAGGTCCCTGAAGTGAAATCTTATAAAATGGGATGGGAATCCATGCTCTACTGTTTCAACATAGATGTCCTTTACACAACAAAGGTTAAGCACCACTTCTTACAGCACCTTTCAGTGGCAGAATGACTGTGTTACAATAGTTAGAGAATGCACACTTCTTTTTTCTGTTTCTCATGCGCAGTAATCCTCTTTATGTTTTGTTTATGTTACCATGTAAAAGTCAGTCACTAATAAATCATTTTAAATCCGAATATTTGCTCCTGTTTTCCTTGAAATGCACTGAAAAAACACAATAAAGTTGTTGGTAACTGCCTCTTGGTCCTGTATTGAACGAGCTGGATCAGTGCTGCACTCTGCTCGCATGCACACACTGAATGAGCTGCAGATATCTATCATTAGCCCGGTATTGATCTGTCTCACAGCCGGTGCTCTGTGCCATCGTTGATTTTTTGTAGTTACGGGCACGGTGAAGAAGTCTGAAGCTATCGTTTTGCATGGAGTAACATTGTTCCTTTGTAGCAGTGAAGGGGGAGTGGAGCAATCTGATTCTTGTGAACTCAGCTCCTCCCATCGTTGCGGCTGCGCAGTTCAATTTTTCACTCCTCTTTTTTTCAATTTTTCACTCCTACTCTGGCTTCCGGACGCCAAGACAGACCGCTGCCGCCGAATTTAAAGAGACAGGCGATAGTTATTTTAAATACGATAAACGGCAACCATTGTCCCTTAGCTTATTTTCCGTCGCTTCTCGCCTCAGCTTGTTTATTTCGATGGTGATGTTTAATCAAAGTCGCAGCGAGTAGCATCTTGTCTGTCATCACCCTCCACTCTGCTGGATTTTCCGTCCCTTTGCGCTGTGTGTGCCGAGACTGTCCAGCTAGGCAAAGTAGGGTTGCTCGCTGGCAGGCTGGCTTCCCGACCGAGAGGAAGGTTTGTCGGCTAGCCAACAACTGGAGGTAACACCGAAGCTTCCCTCTCAAGTTGTGGTAGAGGCTCCCGAGCCTCCCGTCGCCGGGATAATGGCGAAGATTCAGGCGCACAGCACCGCGAAGCAAATAAACCAAATTCAAGACAAGCCTTACGTTATAACACAAAAGCAAGTGCAGCAGCAGCACTTCCAGAAGCTGAAGGTAAGAAGACAACGGACACGACAAGGGAAAAGTCCCTCAGAGTCAGAACCATTTTGTTCGTCGGATCATTGCACTGGATTTGAGGCTTTTCTCTTTCTCCTCTAACGTCGAGAGTAGTGAAAGCAACGGCTGGCTAACGTTAGTTAGCTCGCTGGCCTATTAAAAGTAATTCATTGCTAAACAGCCGAACATTGACATTTAAGGTTAGACGTAGAAGCTGTATTTCATTAATGAATGTCTGAGTGACAGTCGAGTGGCACAGTTAGCGGTAGTTTCTTATTTACGATGTCAATAACAGCCACTGTGAGCAAACGTTAACTCAGACCTCGGTTGTGGGAAGTTCCTCCTTGTTCGTTTTTTCAGCCACCCTGAACAAAGTGGAGGACGTCAGCCAGGCTAGCCAAGAACGGCTATTTCAGTTGATTAGCAGCTTCATTACACATTTCTTTGTTATCGCAGTAGTTGGATATTATCATGCTGTTTGTGCCAACACGATGCTGCTGGCTAGGGACCAGCTGTGACTAAACGTATTGTATAAATTCGTATGTGGGTAGGTGTTGTAAGTGTTCGTGGAGTTATTATCGTCAGTTGACTGGCTGTTGGCTAACGTTAGCTTAAACAACCCTCTTTAGATGTGCACTGTTTGTGACAGCGCTTTGTGTGAACGCATATTTTTTTATCGTAACCTAACCTAGCTGGGATGTTATGTATAAAGAAAGCTGGGGTCCACTGAACAAAAGCTCCTCGGTGTTTCATGTATTCGTCCATTTATTTATTTATTTATTTATTTAGCGGTTACTTGTACAGCTTGTACAGCTAACTAGTGCATTTGTTGATACAGCACTTCAGCTGACAATGAAGAAAGCAAACATGACCTATTTATATAACTTCATGTGAAAAACATCCACATATAGCATTGAGGAATGCAGATATTTCGCTTTGTCAGTGCTATATGATATTAGTACTTGTCAATATGTACAATTATCAATACGACACAAGCCATTGTCCTGTTAGACACGTGAAAGAGCTGGATTGACATCCCTGTGAGATCCTCCTTCATCAACAGCACAAACAGGATGTTCGTTAAAAAAGCTTCTCCCTAGGTCCAGATGGGACCGATTGCACTTTGTTCTGCATTAATGAGTTTTGTTTTTCTCTCTGTGTTCAGGTTGAAGATGCCTTGTCATATCTGGACCAAGTCAAAATTCGTTTTGCAAATGATCCTGGCATATACAACAAGTTTCTCGACATCATGAAAGAGTTCAAGTCACAGAGGTATTTGGGCAAGAAGTTATTGTATTCCCTCATACAGTCTCTTGAGATACTGAATCATAGAGCTTGTATGTAGATTTCAATTATGTTTCAAAATGTAAGGCATTTATCAATAAGAAAGAAATTGCACATAGCACCCTACTCCAGTTTATATTGTCTTGAAATTTAGTCGTGGGATGAGATATTATGTGTTTCTTTTTAGACTAAGCTGCAGCACTCTTTTTGGTTAGAAGTTGGTTGTCGTCATGCAGCATATGAGAGGAAGCTACTTTATTTTTTGCCTCTGTCATTCACACCACAAAACTGTCTGTCTGACCGTTCTCTTGAACAGCATCGACACGCCAGGGGTGATAAACCGTGTGTCGCAGCTCTTCCATGGACACCCAGACCTAGTTTTGGGCTTCAATGCCTTCCTGCCACCAGGGTATCGGATAGAGGTCCCCAAGAATGGGGTGGCTTTCCTCCAATCTCCGTTCTCCACACAGGTGAGACGCTTTGCAGCTCAAGTTGATACATTCTCAAAACTAGTACTTTATTTATTCTCAAAATGATGAAACTTTAAGCAGGTGCATCATTACAAACTCATGCTGTGCTGAAAGGTATGGTATGAACTTTTAAATTCTTAAGAGGAAACAGGTCTGCTTCTTCTGTGCTGAATTTCAATTGTGCGCACTGTTTTAAATTCAGTCAAGATCCCAATGTTTGGAAAGATCCAAAATCTGCCATCCTGAATTGTGCACATACAATCAGTTGCCAGTTTATGTATCATAAAGTTGAATCAATGCTTATTTAAAACATCCACCCATCTGTACCAGCTTGTCCTATTCAGGGTGATGGGGGTGCTGGAACCGATCCCAGTTGACATTGGGCAAAGGCGGGGTACATCCTGGACAGGTTGCCAGTTTATCATAGGTCTGACACATAAGAGACGGACAACCACTGAGGCAGACAAATATCATGCTCACATTCACACCTACAGGCAATTTAGAGTCAACAATTAACCCAACCTATATGTCTTTGGACTGTGGGAGGAAGCTGGAGAACCCAGTGAAAACCCACGCTAACACCACACATAAGGCCCCAATAACATTACTACTTAATGAATGTGGGATTCACTACAGAAGTACCTAATAAGTAGGAAACAAAGTGTATGTCATGTGTATAAAAATGCACTGCAATGGGTGGGTGTCTCTCCTAGGCAATTTGGTAGATATTTTAGATATGTTGTCTACATTTTGATATTTAAAAAAGCAGTAAAAGTTCTTAATGTTTTGATGCACTGTGACTCAAAACTGTTCAGATGCTTGCTTCAGCTCGGATTCAGTTTCAATTCAGGTCACATTTGGTGTGCTTCATAGTTTATTGTATTTTCAGCTTTGGCTTACAGAAAAAAAATCATAAAGAATGCAGAGACCAGTTTCAGGTTCGTCACTTTCACATGCAGTAATTGCAGCGGACTTTAAGGTGCTTTTGAAGATGCAAATAGTCACAGAAAAGAATGTTCTGCAGTCACTTTGAGGCAGACCAACATGCCAGACTAAATGAAAGATTTTAATATACCTTTGCTGCCTAAAAAGCATTCCTGTCTGGGAAAAAAAACTTGGTTTTAATGTCAAGAACCAAATGCCAATGTTGTTTTCCTCTGTGAGAGATTTTCTTGTTTGGATGGCTTGACTAAGGAATTTATTTGGGCAACCCGAGGACCAGCGGAGGTGTGTGTCATACACACATGCAGAGTGTTACTTGAGATGTGCATCAAAACTGTTACTGATGGCTGTGTTGATTTTAGAATTAGTCACTCAATATAAGTGAGGCAATACCGATATAATATAGGCACAAAAGATGCACAATGTAGTTAAATAACATGAGAAAATATTTTGTATAACTTCTTAATTGTGACTTCAAGGGAACACTTGCTGTATCTGAAATCCAAACCACATTACCCTCCCCCTTTTAGTGTACTATATTTACAATCAGCCATTTCATTTGAGTTTCAGATATATGCACAATGTAAAGCCCTAAAGAATTTTCACAATGCAAAGGAAAAAGGGACCATGACATGTACAATACTTCCTGCTAACAATCCCACAATGCAATGTGTCAAATTTTACAAGTGTGAAAAGATACCATTTATAGAATTGTTTTCGTTACTGAGAGTTGCAGTTTTTCTTCATTTCCATCCTGTTCTACCTCAAAGAATTTGTGACAATGCAATTTACTGCTCACTCTGGAGCTAATTATTTATGAAGTAGTTAATGAATGAATAATGGAATAATTTTTAACACAGCCCCTGAGACAAGTATGGTAAAAGTGTTGACATTTTTTAGCATTAACATTGTTTAATCACCATCTGGCCTGGCATTCACAGTCAGATATTTTTCCCCTAATCTTATTTTAAGCATCCAACTTAAGTTACTTTATTGAATGTACCTCTATCCATGCAGCTCAACTTCCTCCTTCTTCTTCATCTGCCCAGGTATCCCCAGGCCAGCAGGGGAAGAGTGTTACCACCTCTGCAGTGACCGCAACCTCAGGTAGTGCCTCTGCCGCCAATGTTGAAGCTGGACCTGCCCAGACCAGTGATGTCAAGGCGGCCCCATTAGAGCCCCTCTCTTCCTCAACCCCAGCAGGACCTCCAGAGCCTCCCAGCAGGCTTTCTCTTCCCCTGACAAGCAGAGAGAGCCAAAATCAGGCGACCACCTCGTCTGTGTCCCCGCCTGCCTCAGAGACGAGCCCAGTAGAGTTTGACAGTGCCATCAGCTATGTGAACAAGATTAAAAATCGTTTCCTGGATCACCCAGAGATTTACAGAGCCTTCCTAGAGATTCTTCATACATATCAGGTAC